AGAAAAACAGACCAAAACACAAAATCTTAACTATAACCACTGAACCATGAAAATGAGGTCAAGGTCAGATGACACCTGCCAGTTGGACATGTACACCTTACAGTCCTTCCATACACTGAATATACTAGACCTATTGCTTATAGTATCTGAGATATGGACTTGACCACCAAAACTTAACCTTGTTCATTGATCCATGAAATGAGGTCGAGGTCAAGTGAAAACTGTGTGACGGGCATGAGGACCTTGCAAGGTACGCACATACCAAATATAGTTGAACTATTGCATAAAGTATTAGAAAAAAAGACCAAAACTCAAAAACTTAACTTTGACCACTGAACCATGAAAATGAGGTCAAGGTCAGAAGACACCTGCCCACTAGACATGTACACCTTACAATCATTCCATACACAAAATATAGTAGCCCTATGGCATACAGTATAAGAAAAACAGACCAAAACACAAAAACTTAACTATAACCACTGAACCATGAAAATGAGGTCAAGGTCAGATGACACCTGCCAGTTGGACATGTACACCTTACAGTCCTTCCATACACTGAATATACTAGACCTATTGCTTATAGTATCTGAGATATGGACTTGACCACCAAAACTTAACCTTGTTCATTGATCCATGAAATGAGGTCGAGGTCAAGTGAAAACTGTGTGACGGGCATGAGGACCTTGCAAGGTACGCACATACCAAATATAGTTGAACTATTGCATAAAGTATTAGAAAAAAAGACCAAAACTCAAAAACTTAACTTTGACCACTGAACCATGAAAATGAGGTCAAGGTCAGAAGACACCTGCCCGCTAGACATGTACACCTTACAATCATTCCATACACCAAATATAGTAGACCTATGGCATACAGTATAAGAAAAACAGACCAAAACACAAAAACTTAACTATAACCACTGAACCATGAAAATGAGGTCAAGGTCAGATGACACCTGCCAGTTGGACATGTACACCTTACAGTCCTTCCATACACCGAATATACTAGACCTATTGCTTATAGTATCTGAGATATGGACTTGACCACCAAAACTTAACCTTGTTCACTGATCCATGAAATGAGGTCGAGGTCAAGTGAAAACTGTCTGACGGACATGAGGACCTTGCAAGGTACGCACATACCAAATATAGTTATCCTATTACTTATAATAAGAGAGAATCTAACATTACAAAAAATCTTAACTTTTTTTTCAAGTAGTCACTGAACCATGAAAATGAGGTCAAGGACATTGGACATGTGACTGACGGATACTTCGAAACATGAGGCATCCATATACAAAGTATGAAGCATCCAGACCTTCCACCTTCTAAAATATAAAGCTTTTAAGAAGTAAGCTAACGCCGCCGCCGCCGGATCACTATCCCTATGTCGAGCTTTCTGCGACAAAAGTCGCAGGCTCGACAAAAAACCTGCCAGACTGACATGTACATCATTAAATATTTCCATACACCAAATATAGTTGACCTACTGCATACAGTATTAGGAAAACAGACCAAAACACAAAAACTTAACATTTAGCAATGAACCTTGAAAATGAGGTCAAGGTCAAATAAAACATGCAAGACTGACATGTACATCGTAAAATATTTCCATATACCAAATATAGTTAACCTACTGCATACAGTATTAGAAAAACAGACCAAAACACAAAAACTTAACATTGAGCAATGAACCGTGAAAATGAGGTCAAGGTCAAATAAAACTTGCCAGACTGACATGAACATTGTAAAATATTTCCATACACCAAATACAGTTGACCTATTGCCTACAGTATTAAAAAAACAGACAAAAACACAAAAACTAAACTATGACCACTGATCCATGAAAATGAGGTCAAGGTCAGATGACACCTGCCAGCTGGACATGTACACCTTACTATCAATACATACACCAAATATAGTAGACCTATTGCTTATAGTATCTCAGATATGGACTTGACCACGAAAACTTAACCTTGTTCACTGATTCATGAAATGAGGTCGAGGTCAAGTGAAAACTGTCTGACGGGCATGAGGACCTTGCAAGGTACGCACATACCAAATATAGTTATCCTATTACTTATAATAAGAGAGAATTTAACATTCCAAAAAATCTGAACTTTTTTTTCAAGTAGTCACTGAACCATGAAAATGAGGTCAAGGACATTGGACATATGACTGATGGAAACTTCGTAACATGAGGCATCTATATACAAAGTATGAAGCATCCAGGTCTTCCACCTTCTAAAATAAAAGCTTTTAAGAAGTTAGCTAACGCCGCTGCCGCCGCCACCGGATCACTATCCCTATGTCGAGCTTTCTGCAACAAAAGTCGCAGGCTTGACAAAAAACTAAGTCCATTTATAAGCAATATACGGAAAAACAGGAAATAAATTTTTACAAAATTTCCTTCGAGATACTAGCTTTTGATCATAAATAAGCTTCTGTCAAGTTTGGAACAAATCCAGGATAGTTTAAGAAAGTTATTAAAATTTTAAAAACTTTAACCACTGAGTGAATGTAATGTTAACTGGCAGAAAAACTAATTTTTGCACTTTAAAGTTTCTCTCTATCTATTATAGTTTTCAGGATAATAGGCAAAAATGAAAAAAAAATGGTAAAATTTGTCATTTAAGGCAATAACTCCTATAAGAAGTTGTCTGAAAGTTTTGACGTCAATGATCAATTGGTAGAGCTCAACATTCTGAACATTTATGCCCTTGTCAGAATTTCTCTATTCATAATGGTTTTCAAAATAATAGACAAAACTTGCATTTTACCCCTATGTTCTATTTTTAGCCATGTCGGCCATCTTGGTTGCGGGCGGGGTCATCGGACATATTTTGAACAAGATACCCCAATGATGATTGTGGCAAAGTTTGGTCAATTTGGTCCAGTAGTTTCATAGAAGATTTTTGTAAAAGTTAACGACGACAGAGGACGGACGACTGACGCCAAGTGATGAGAAAAGCTCACTTGGCCCTATGGGCCAGGTGAGCTAATAAGTCTATTCCATCCACTGTCTCCGGTTTTTTCTTAACATACTGGACTTTCTATACTTATCTTGTATAATTATGGGAAAATATTTCACCAATGATAAAAGTTGTATTGAGCACTGTTTATATGCAAATGTGGGGAAAATATTTTTCTTTATTTGAGAATTAAATTGTACGTAAATGAGATGGTATGAAAAGCCACTTTTTTGTCTCCTTGAATTCGAAAATCAAAAAGTATTATAAATCTACCAAATAACGCCATCAGATGTTCATAAGACATTAATTAGTCTGTTAGACATTAGTATAAATATCTTTGAATTTTGTCTTACATATTTGCATTAAGGTTTCAAACTTCTTTAATTTAGTGCATATTCAAAAGGTATATACCCTAAAGGTAGGACACATCACAGACATTCCCAAGGTAAGACACTATCACTGTCATTATATTTCACAATCCCTGGCTTTGCTCGGGTTAATAATTGAACCTTTACTTTATGTGAAGGTCGCACGCCTTTCTTCACAGCTCGCTGGTTTTTAAATTGACCAGTACTATATAAGTGGAGGTACACCTGTAAGCGTCCTCTTTATTTTAAAGGCAGCACGCCTGTAAAGATCTAACAGACTCTGTTAAGATTATTTACTTAAACTTTAATTTACCGACTCGGTATTGATAAAAAGTAATTTGGTCGAGATATAAAAATCCGACACTGAATAATGTCACGTTGTCATAGTTTGAGTGACAGTGAGTCCGACTCGGACCACGATAATTTTGATGATGAACTTAACGATGAGCAAGTTTTAAAGCTTTTCGCATCTGAAGAAGAAATAGATGCTTCTTTTTCTGGGTTTTCGACCCCACAGAAAAGCGGAGCTGAAACCGTGCACATTCCGAAAGAATCGGAAGTTACACGCGAAATGCAAATGCCCGCTACACAAGCACCGGTCAAGTCTCCTGAGAAGAATACCTCTAGAAAAGGAAAAAGTGTAAAGAATAGCGGAAAGGGCAAGGCCCTTAAACGTAAAACTTCTGAATCAGTTGAAATACCCTCGGGTAGTAGAGTGACAGTAAGCCCTATGAAAAAGAAAGCCAAACCAAAAGTACAAACAAAAACTACTAAACCAAAGGCTAAAAAATCAAAAACTGACAATACAGAACTGATAAAATCATTATTTCAAGGGTTGACAGATTCTTTGAGGTCCACCCTTACTGGGAACACACAGAGAGACAATAGTCTGCAAAGAACTAGACAAAATAATGAGACAGCTAGGACTGAGAATATTCACAATAATCAGTATTCTGACCAAGAAGAAGAGTCTGATTATCCTGTTTATGATACAGGTAACAATAACATTGAGAATGGGAACTTTTCTATCTTTAGTGATGATGGTAACTGTAATGATCAGATTGAAGTCTCTTCAGATGAGAATAATGATTTTGATTATGAATTGCCCCGTATTTTCGAAGGCGATGAAAGATTTGGTGAAGAGGTATGTGAATCCATCTCTAAAGTCTGTGACAATATTTGTAAAAAGAAAACAGATGTTTCGTCAATTGTCAATGAACTGAAGGTGCCCTCAAATTGCAGGAGCCTTGTTGTGCCGCCAGTTAACCCAGAAATATGGCAATTTTTAGACCGCAAGACAAAATCATCTGATTTAGGTCTCCAGAATCTTCAGAGACTTCTTGCATACGGGATGATCCCTGTGATAACTCTGGCAGGTATTCTGAAAACTAAAAAACCTGACATAAAGTTGATGAGAGAAGCTGTGTCTAAAGCTATGACTGTTCTTTGCAATACTCATTTTGAGTTGTCGGTTAAAAGGAAGCTAATGCTCAAACCATACATAGACAGAAAATTCCACCAGTTGTGTAACAAGAATGAAGAAATGGGTGCCAATCTTTTTGGTGATGAAATTGGAAAGAAGTTAAATCAAATAAATGAAGTGAATAAGATAAACAAAAACATCTCAGGGAGAAGTTATAGTTACAGAGGTGGCAGAGCCCGATACCCTTACAATCAGTCACAAGGTCGTTTTTTAGGGAGACGAGGATACTCCAGAGGACATGGAAATCAAAGGGTTCCATACTCAAACAGAGGCCAAGGAAGAGGCTACGGCCAGAAAAAATTCAACAAGTATTAAAGGTAAGCAGTAGAAAAATAAAAACTGCTGGTATACTTAAAAAAATTATTTCTAAATGGAAAACTTTAACACATGACAAATGGGTTTTGTCAACTGTGATGGGGCATAAAATTGAGTTTGATAAAAAGCCTTTTCAAGGAAAAATTCCTACATCTATAAAGTTCAATGATACTGAAATTAATTTAATTCAGGAAGAAGTTTCAGAATTGTTATCAAAAGGTGCAATAAAAGAAGTCTGTCATGAAGATGGTGAATTTATTTCAAATTTGTTTTTGGTAAAAAAGAAAAGTGGAAAATTTCGTCCTGTCATTAACCTTAGACAATTAAATGAATTTGTCACTTATCATCATTTCAAACAAGAGAATTTAGATTTAATCTTGAAAGGAATACAAAAAGGGAACTTTTTTACATCCCTTGATTTGACTGATGCATATTTTTCAGTTCCAATTAAGGAATCAGACAGAAAATTTTTAAAATTTGTTTGGGATGGTAAATTATATGCTTTTCAGTGTTTACCTTTTGGATTAGCATCTGCTCCCAGAGTTTTCACAAAAATTTTGAAGGTCATATTTTCCCACATTCGAAGTATAGGAATAGATTCATACTTTTATATTGACGACTCTTTATTACAAGCTGAAAGTTTTTCTACAAGTGTTATTAACACAAAGAAAGTCCAACAATTCATTCAGTCAGTTGGTTTTAATATAAATATGGAAAAATCTGTATTTATTCCATCACAGAGGATTACATTTTTGGGATACATAATAGACTCAGTTTTGTTTAGAGTTTTCCTACCTGAAGATAAAATACAGAAAATTATTGAAATTTCAAATAATGTTTTAAAGCCTCAGAATATATTGATAAGACATGTAGCACAATTAGTTGGTTTGTATTCATCTGCTCGATATGCAGTTACGCATTCTCATCTTTTCCATAGATACTTAGATATTGATAAAACTTGTGCTCTTATAAAATCAAATAAGAACTACAATGCAAATATGATCATTTCTGAAGAAAGTAGATCTGAAATTCGTTGGTGGCTTGCAAATGTTAATTCTGAGAATGGAAAATTGATAAGGGAGGATCCCCCTAGTCATTCTTTACATACAGATTCCTCGATGAAAGGCTGGGGTGCCTTCCTTGACAAAACTTCGTGTTCAACACAAGGTCGTTGGAATTTAGACGAACAGAATTTGCATATCAATGTCTTAGAACTAAAAGCTATATATTTTGGTTTAATTTCTTTGTGTAACCATATTAAGGATGCTCATGTTAGAGTAAGAACAGATAGTTCCACAGCAGTCAGTTACATTAACAATCAGGGCGGTTCAGTTATACCCCTGTTAGTTATTTCAAAACAAATTTGGTTTTGGTGTATCAGAAATAATGTATATATTTCAGCAGTTCATATTCCTGGTAGTGAAAATTTAATTCCAGATAATTTATCAAGATGTTTTAAAGATACATCAGAATGGAAGTTGAAAGAATCAATTTTTTGTCAAGTAATATATCATTTTTTCATCCCAGATGTAGATCTATTTGCCTCTAGGTTGAATAAACAGTTGGAAAAATATGTAAGTTGGTATCCAGACCCAGAAGCCTGGGCAACTGATGCATTTTCTTTTTCATGGCAAAATTTAAAACCATATATTTTTCCTCCTTTCAGTCAGATCAGCAAGGTGTTGATGAAGATCGAAGACGATCAGGTAAGAAAAGTTATACTGATTATACCACTGTGGACAACACAAGTATGGTTTCCAAAGCTATTAAAATTGTTGATTGCTTCGCCAATCAAATTGCCACAGTGTTCAGATTTGCTAACTTTAGCTCACAACCAACAAAAACACCAAATGAACAAAAGAAAATTATTCCTTATCGCTTGTCTGGTATCCAGAGATATCTCCATAGCCAAGGGTTTTCGGGAAAAACAACAAAAATTTTATCCAAATCTTGGAGAAAATCTACAAACATTCAGTATGAATACTCTTGGAGAAAATGGTTATTGTGGTGTAATCGAAAACAGATTAATCCATTTAAACCAACTGTAAAACAGTTTTTGCATTATTTGTCCATTCTATTTCATAATGGGAGGTCTTACAGTTGTGTCTGTTCCCATAAATCAGCTATATGTCAGACTCTGACAATAATAGGGAACAAGAATTTTGATAACAATTATTTCATTAAAAGATTCCTTAAAGGAATTTTCAACATGAGACCTCCAGTTGCAAGATACATTTTTACATGGGATGTAGGCCAAGTATTAAAGTATTTAGGATCTTTATATCCACTTAATGATCTGTCATTAAAGATGGTCACTCTGAAAAGTGTAGCTTTGGTGGCTCTAGCAACAGCACAGAGATCACAAACACTTAGCAGTCTAAATTTGAAACTAGCATATTGTTCAGATAATTCAATTGTCTTTAAGATTGGCACTTTGCTAAAAACAAGCAGACCAAAAAATTTAAATCAAGAAATTACAGTTGCATCTTTCTGTAAACCAGAAATGTGTCCACTAAAAACTTTAAAACATTATATTTTAAGAACACAAAATGTTAGAAAGAGTAACAAATTGTTTGTATCTTTTAAAACTTTGAAAGCAGTTACCAGCTGTTCAATAGCCAAATGGCTTAAGGTTGTTTAATTAATTCTGGTATAGATATTTCTAAATTCAAAGCTCATTCATATAGATCAGCATCTTCGAGTGCTGCTCTTAATGCAGGTATGTCGTTAAATGATATACTCAAAACAGCAAACTGGGCATCAGCTCAAACATTCAAACCATTTTATTATAAAAATGTTGAGAAAAAGAAAAATAATTCTCACTATGTGAACTCAGTATTTAATTCTAATTTGCAGTCTGACAGTACAGGTTGACAGGAACTGGAGGAACCAGATACAGTCGTCAGATATTCTATCAGCTTATTTACATGTAGATTACAAAACATGTATGGAATTTTTATTGGAAGTATTGTTGATGTTTGAGATACCGTTGGATATGTCGGTTTGAGGAACTAATAGACTTTAAACAGATGGATATTCTAGTAATGTGTTGATGAGGAACTTGAACATTTATCGGTTAATGCTTATACTGTGTTTGTGGAATAGCGATAGAACTGAACATTTTGATAGTTAGAACTTCATAGTATTTTATGCAATTTTGTTGTATAATTGTGGGATATTAAAATATTTAAAAAACACTAGTATATTTATTTAAGAAAATGATAGAAATGTTTGTTCATGACAGGTATTAGAGTTATATATGTCAATGAGACAGCAATAGCTTATGTTAAAGGTATATATCAATGAGACAGCAACAGCTTATGGTAAAGGTATATATCATTGAGACAACTTTTTAGTTTCTTCTTTGGACTTCTGCTCAAGAGAATTTATAGATATGGTTAATTGGTCATATATCTCTTATTTATGGTTTTTTGCATTTATTGCGGCTATAAAGAGTTCAATTATTAACCCGAGCAAAGCCCGGGATTGTGAAATATAATGTAACCTTATCCAAGCATCATTTATGATGTGAAGGATAAGGTGCATTTTATGAAGAAGCCTAAGGGCTTCGAGGGTTAATAAGTTCCCTCCCTTTATTTATCATGTACCAGAAGGGCAACAGGTTATATTTTTTATGCAATTTAAATAAAGATTCCCTCCCTTTTTTATTGGCAATAAATGTTACATGATTTCCAAGGCTATGAGCCTATCTACAAAAAGAGGACGCTTACAGGTGTACCTCCACTTATATAGTACTGGTCAATTTAAAAACCAGCGAGCTGTGAAGAAAGGCGTGCGACCTTCACATAAAGTAAAGGTTCAATTATTAACCCTCGAAGCCCTTAGGCTTCTTCATATAATGCACCTTATCCTTCACATCATAAATGATGCTTGGATAAGGTTACATTCTAAAGGTATGGCACATCACTGTCATTCACAAGAAGACACCACCTCTGTCATTCACAATTTATATCAGTGCTGTCATTAAAGGTAAGGCACATCACTGTCTTTCACAAGGAGAAGACACTACCACTATTATTCACAAAGTAGAGACACTACCCCTGTCATTCACAAGGTATATACACTATCACTGTCATTCCAATGGTAAGACACTATCACTGTCATTCTAATGGTAAGACTCTATCACTGTCATTCTAATGGTAGGGCACATCACTGTCATCCACAAGGAGAAGACACTACCACTGTTATTCACAAAGTAAAGACACTGCCCCTGTCATTTACAACGTAAGACACTGTCATTGTCATTCTAAAGGAAGGGCACATTACTGTCATTCTAATGGCAGTGCACATCACTGTCATTCACAAGGTAAAGACACAACAACTGTTATTCACAAGGTAAAGACACTATCACTGTCATTATAAAGGTAAAGACCCTATCACTGTCCTTCTAATGGTAATTTAGACACTATCACTGTCATTCTAAAGGTAAGACACTACCACTGCACTTGCACCATTAGCCACTAGTCTGATGCCCCAAACTTGTTCAATTTTATTCAGACTAGTAAGTATTTGCAAATATTTGTTTATAAACATAAGAAAATTGTGGGAATATTAGTCTTCCGACAGGTACCGGTAGTTGGAAAAGATTTTGGTGCAGACTGCCACTGTCATTCAGACAGTAACGACACTACCACGGTCATTTAAAAAGTAAGACACTATCACTGTAATTAACAAAGTAAAGACACTACCACAGTCATTCACAAGATAAGACACTTATATAATCTATGTCATTCTAAAGGTACAGCACATCACTGTCATTCACAAGGCAAAGACACTTTCACTGCCATACAAACTATAACTATCATTCACAACACTGCCATTCAAACTATAACTATCATTCACAAGGGAGGGAACTGTCATTGTCATTGAAACTCTAGGACACAATATACAAGACAGTATCACTTTTGTCACTGACTAGGATACTCAGCTGTTTTTTACACACGAAAAATGTTTATGATATATTAGAGCATTGTGACAAGGTCAGACAGACCTTAATACCAAAACACTAAATCTGTTTCTATTTTTAGGCAATTTTCCATTTTAAGGAATAAAACATCTGCATCCTTTTTTTTAAATACAAGATTGATGAGTTTTTGATACATCTTGATACAATTTGTTTAGTTATGCATCCTTCTTACTTGAATTTCCCATGATGATGTGTTATTATTCAATACAAATACTGATTTAAATATTTTTCTGCATTAATTGGAAACACCTCTGTGGGTGTTCAAATGATAAATTTGAATTGATGTGAAAACATCAGATTAGTTATATTATCCCCTGTCAAGGGAATACATTAGTACCTCAAATTTTGTTTTTATTTGCTAATAATTCAATTAAAACTAATTTAACTTCCCACATCAATTACAGATTACAGGATTTTTTTGTACAGCTAACTTTCAACATGTCACTCAGTTTAAAGTAATTATTTTCAATTAAAAGAAATTTATGCCTTGTTTGCGTCTCACAGCTATACCAGAAAAAACCCAATCTTTTTCAAGAGAACATTGTATAGAAAGATTCAAAATTTATTCTTTATTTCACTGAAATATTTTGCACCCTGAAAAAGTTTGAATTTTTGGTGTAACAATTAACTCTGCAATGGTAAAAAGTGAAAACCACAAAAATCAAACTTAAACAATCTTTAGAAGTCCAAAAAATTCCATTAAAATTTCAATTAACTTCAAATAATAGTTCTCTATTTTTCATTTGGAAACCAAAAGTGTGACGGATAGACTAAGGGACTATTGGATGGGAGGATTCCTAGATACCACAAATTTGTTGAGCTCAGGGTACAACAAAAACAGTAACTTTGATTTTTGACTTTTAAAATATTTCATAATAATTAATACAATAACTCTACAATGTCTTCTCTATGATGTTTATATAGTATTTAATTCTTACTTCAACTTTTCACACCTTCTGGGCTTGAATTGCAATTTAGGCGAAATTTTTATCCTCTTAAAAATAAATCAATTTCATATTTCAATACCAAATGAACTTTCCTAATTCCTATTATGCATTAAATTTGATTGATACTTTGATAAATTTAAGATCTCACTATAAAATGAGAGAAAAAAATACATGGGAGGTCAGGATTAAACTTTATAATACTATAGATTTTAAGTGGTTAAATAATTTAATCCCAAATATTAGGTTAAATCTGTTACTAGTACTAAAAACTACAAACTCATTGGACCTTTCATAATAAGTAATTTCATAAAGGGACATAGTTTTCTTAAGTTATTTGCTATCAAAGGGTTCATAAATACAATGTATACAGTACTTGCAACCTTAGGCGTCAATCAGCTGTCATTGATCAGTCACCGATCAGTCAAGTTCTCATCAAACTCACGTCACCAATCCGTCAGACTTATAGTAAAAGTAATTGACTGATCGGAAGGATAGGACCAATCGCCCTATCTGACGGATTGAACTCTACTACGTCACATGATAAACTAATACAAATTACGGAATCTTAGTTTTGTTTAATTTGATTAAAATGGCGACATGTACAATACAAAACGTTAAAGTACAACTGATCAACATGTTTTTATTAATTATTCAGCAAAGTTTAATGAACTTAAATGAAAAGATAAATACAGATAAAACCTAAATTTGAATATTATCATTAAAGAATGGTCATTTTCGTTTTTATTTAGGTTACATATTTTCAAACTCGGAGAGTTCTAAAACGGTGTTTATATCGCGATTTTGATTTTATTAATTTCCGAAAATACTCTGGAAAATAAAATGAAATGATCAGTTATTGAAAAATTCGGTGTATTATTTTCAATATTTTTAAAGTTTTGTATCCTTATAATCTTAAAATTCTTTAAAAAAACTTCTCAATCGAGGCCATTAAAATAACAAATTACAAATAAAATTGCTGCATTTTCTCTAAAGATAAGAAATATTGGTAATTTTAAAAAATGCGAACAAAATTTTAGTATATTTTCTCTGATAATCTTTTCTTTTATGAAAAACAATCAATCCTAAACTATAAAAAGTACAAAAATCCAATGGCGGTCAATAATTTCCATTGAAATGAAGAAATGATTGCATTCTTGTTCAACAAAAACAAAAGTTTATGCATATTTATCCTTCAAATATTCACATTTTATTCAAAATTAGTTATCAAAAGGAATTTATAGAGACTGATTACAGTTGACCTTGCATTGTTTCAAATATGAGGAGAAATATTTGCATTTTAGGCAACGCGTACAAAAATTTAGTATCTTTTCCCTAAAATTCAGCATATTTTAATAAAAACATACAATCCTGATGTACAAAAAGTACTGAAATCTTATGGCAGTTTACAATTTGTATTAAAATAAAGCAACAACTGCATTCTTATTCCACAAAAACATTCTGATTGTATCTTAAATCTAAATAAAGACTTATCTTGAGGCCTTTAAAATAACTAATCACAAATTAAATAGCATCATTTTTTATCAAAAGAAGAATAATTTTGGTAATTTTAAAAAATGCGAACAAAATTTTAGTATATTTTCTCTGATAATCTTTTCTTTTATGAAAAACAATCAATCCTAAACTATAAAAAGTACAAAAATCCAATGGTGGTCAATAATTTCCATTAAAATGAAGAAATGATTGCATTCTTGTTCAACAAAAACAAAAGTTTATGCATATTTATCCTTCATTTATTCACATTTTATACAAAATTACTTATTAAAAGGCATTTATAACGATTGATTGCAATTGACGTTGCATTATTTCAAATATGAGAAGAAATATTTGCATTTAAGGCTATGCGAACATAAATTTAGTATCTTTTCCCTAAAATTCAGCATATTTTATGAAAAACAACCAATCCTGATGTAGAAAAAGTACTGAAATCTTATGGTGGTTTACAATTTGTATTAAAATAAAGCAATAACTGCATTCTTATACCACAAAAACAAAAGTTTAAGTATTCTAATTCTGATTGTATCTAAAATCTAAATAAAGACTTATCTTGAGGCCTTTCAAATAAATAATTACAAATAAAATTGCGTTACATTTTATCAAAAGAAAAAATTAAGGTAATTTAAAACAATAGTTAAAACAACTCTTAATCAACACAAACAAAGCTCTAAGCATCTTTACTGTTATGCTATTTTTACTTTTACCATCTAGCAACATGAAATTGGTAAAAAGAGTATTCATTTTAAAT